TAAATGCTGAAATTGAGTAACCTCTTTCTTCACTAAGCACTCCTCTTGTAGCTTTAAGTTTTGATTAGACTCTAGAATTCTGAAAAAGATGATTTTGTCATTTTTTGCCAGCTTAATGGTTGCTTCAGTGCAAGGATTGTTCTTAGAGCTTCATACTCTGCTTTTCTGTGATGTCATTTGATAGCAGGAGGTAGCTAACCACTCAGGGGGTTTCTTGGGCATCTGAGAGACCTTGATGGAGGAGCAGACATTCAGAACAGATGTACTGAGCTCTGGTCAAGTAGTCTTAGGGAGGAAAGAGGAAACAGAAAGATCAGCTGGCTCCATGACTTGGGGAGGTAAAAAGGGAGGGGAGATAAACCTCACCCAGGACTGCCTCAGTTGTGGGTTCTCCTGACAAAAGGAACTATGGGCCCCTCATAAAATTCTTATAGCATTTTTATAGATGAGTCTAATTAGGCCTATAGGGATGCAAGGCCACACAGTTAAAGAACTAGACCCCAAACCTAGTTCTCACTCTAAAAGCCAGGCCTTTTCTATTATATTATGTTGTATTTGTTCTAAAGGATTTGATTATTAAATCTGAATGTGGCATGAGTTATCCCATTGATGACCAGAATTGATTAGGCTTATATGACTAGCTAAGCCAGCTTCTTTTCCCTTACCTCTCTTTGTACTTCCCTTTAGGAATTTCATGCTTGGCCAGAGATGACCTTTCCAGAGCGGAGAACTATTCAGAGACTTAGCTGCTTTCTAAATAGACTTATCTCTTCAGGTCCAAGATTACTTTACATGTTGTTTCAAAGGAGGCTTTCACGAATATGACTAATGCTAATTTATAACATGGAATAAGTATAGACTCAAAGATTTCAGTTTCTGAGAAATAGTCTATTAAGATAACTTGTTCTCATGTTGACATAATGCCTCATCATATTTTATTCTACTGAGAAAGCTTTGACATTTTAAAAAGTTATTTTAAAAATTTTCTAAAAACGTAATTAATTCACAAAAGCCTCAAGAGAGGAACACAGACAAAATTAGCCCAGTACCATATGGCAAAACAACTGTAGACACCAAGAACAGCCCAGAAATGGATGGTTCCTGTACCTCAAAACCTAGGGCTTTTATCAGATCAATATGACAAAAGAAAGCCCTACTTTCTATGTACTCAACTACAAATTTAGAACACATGAACAAGAAAGTACTGTTGGCCTGCATTATGGGGATGAATGTAATGACTATTCTCTGTGGGGTTCACATGCCTAAACAAATGTTGCTTTATTTTGAATATCTGCTGGTTTCCAAGAGATTTTCTAAGGCAGAAACCACTGAAGTAATTCAGTGACAAGTTATCATCACAACTAAAGCTGAGCTAAGGAAAAAAGATGAATTAATCCATACCACTTAGCAACAGAATGTGACTTTCTTATCCACAGAACCCAGAAAATGGTAGAGCCAAGGCAGCAACAGAGCAGGAAGACCACTTCACCCTTCTAGAAGCATTCCAGTGAAGTATACTGATAGCTGCAATTTACTTTGAAATGCATAAAAAATGATAGGTGCATAAAGAGATAGGCAGATGAACAGATGTGACAAAATGAGACAGAAAATGTTTATGATGAAATCAAGATAGTGGGCATATGAGTGTTTGTTGTAAAATTCTTTCATTTTGTATATCTGGAAATTTTTCTAATAAAATGTTTTGGGAAAAACATAAAAAGGAAAAGCATTCTAATAGGGCACACAAATAAGATAAACTTGGGAAAGTAGTTTCTTTCTTTCTTTTATTTTTTTTTTTAAGAGACAGGGTCTTACTCTGTCACCTAGGCTGGATGGAGTGCAGTAGTGTGATCACAGCCCACTGCAGTCTCGACTTCCCAGGCTCAAGCAATCTTCCCATTTCAGCCTCCTGTAGCTGGGACTACAGGCACATGCCACCATGCCGGGCTAATTTTTGTATTTATTTGTAGAGACAGGGTTTCACCATGTTACCAGGCTGGTCTCGAACTCCTGAACTGAACCAATCTGCCAGCCTTGGCCTCCCAAAGTGCTGGGATTACAGCCATGAGCCAACACGCCTGGCCTAGTAGTTTCTTTAAGGATTTAAGAACTCCTCCAGTCTTTAATCACTGTGTCTGTCTCTTCAGTGTAAATTAGGCTTATGGCAGACAAATGAATTCTTTCTAGGAAAGTTTCTGTGAGAGCATCAATAATTATAATTATATATCTAGGTTTATAAGGAAAATTTAGGGGCTGGGTACAGTGGCTCATGCCTATAATCCCAGCACTCTGGGAAGCTAAGGCGGGAAGACTACTTGAGCCCAGGAGTTCAAGATGAGCCTGGATAACATGGCAAAACCTAGTCTCTACAAAAATACAAAAATTAGCTGGGTATGGTGGCATGTGGCTGTAGTCTGAGCCTGAGGTGGGAGGATAGTTTGAGTCCAAGAGGTCGAGGCTGTAGTGAACTATGATTATGCCACTGCACTCTGGGCTCGGGGGGGTGGTGGTGGGAGGTGGGACCCACGAAAAAAAAACCTTATCTTTCTTCAACTAAGGCAAAGTGTAAACCTTTAAAAAACAAAAACGCATTATGGCTAACACATCTGTCCAGTCAAATGCAAATATCAACAGCTGCAGCTAGGAGAAAGAGGGGAAGGGGAAGTGGGGGCTCTAACTGGATCTTGACTAACGCATATTTATTCATGGAAAACAACCATGAATCATTTAAAAAGAAGTCAGTCACAGGACTGGCAGAAGAAAGTGTGTGTAACACAGCCAAAGTCTGGTGCAAATAAAAGTAGAGTTGTATTTCCTCACATTCTTCTATAATGACTATAAAGTCTAGCCTCTAAGTACCTCTATTCCTTTGAGCAAAAGATAATTTGGGGCTTATCTTTGGGGTTCATGCCATGCATGCTATTCTCTACATAAAACAGGGAAAACACAGGTGCTTCAGACAAAATCTGGTATCACATTAACACCAAACAAAAGGCAAAACACACACTTATTTTTTCTTAATACTTAAACCATGGTAGGAGCTCATTTTTCTACTGAGTTTCTGGAAGGGCTCATTCTTCCATTTACAAGAGTCAAGTCTGTTTATTCTTTGTGCTCAGGAATAGGACTAGAGTGGGCAGCTATTCCTATCCCAGGAAATAAGTTTCTGAAGAATGGAAAGCAATTTGAATCAGGTCCTAAAACACAGTCTAAAGATAATGGTCTGAGAAGTGTTCACTCTAGATACATTCTGTTAAGAAAATTAGAATAAATAAAGCAGAATCACTTTTTTGGGTGAGCAGAGAAACATACAGCAGGGAGGGTAAAACTGTGGACTTGGAGTCAGGCTGCCTCAGTTTGCATCCTATCTCTGTGCAAGCTCTGCTTATGTTATTGATATTTCAGTTTCCTCATGTTTAAAATAGTGTTAATGATACTGTGGAGATAAAATGAGTTAATACATGTGATGTGCTTAGGACAGTGTCTGGCTGTTAACTGTGTTAGCTGTTATCACCATCCATATCATCAAGCCAACAGAGACATCCAGTGTAATCATAATCACCCCCTCCCACACACACTTATTTAAAACAAAACTAAACAAAAAGGATACAAAAACATATTGGCCCTTTTTGAGCCATCTTCCCTTTGATGTTGGTTCTTCAACTCCATTCTTCCTTTTACCACCCAAAGTTTGGAGAGAACCATGTTTGCAATTTTCACTTTCATAGCAATAATTTATAGCCTGGCTTCCATCCAAAATACTCTGCTCTAATTGTTTTAGTTAAAGTCACTAAAGACTTTCTGTTAAATCAAATTATTTATTTTCAGTCTTTATCCTTCTTAATCACTTTTTAGTATTTCACACTGTTTACCCATCCCCACTTTTTGAAATAGCCTCCTTTCTTGGGTTTAACGTGATAATACTTTCTTCCAGTTCTTTTCTTGTCTTCTCCTGATATATCTTTAATGATTCATGCTTTCTGTCCATCTTTAAAATACTGCCAATCCTAGGTTCTATATTTTATTGCTTTTTTCTTATCAATCTCAAAGGAAGAGACTAGTGGCTTTCACACAATCTAAGGGGTGATGGTGCCCAAGTTTATTCTATTCTAGACCTTGGTCCTGTACAGCATTTCCAACAACTTAGAAAAGTTATCACCTTGGATATCCAACAGAAATCTCAAACTTAAAATGTTTAAAGCTAAATTTATCTCACTTACCTTAATCTATTCGTTCTCTTCCATTTGTCACCACAGTTAATGAAACACCATATCTGTCTGGTCTTCCAAGATAGAAACTTGGGACTTACCCATAATTTCTTCCTCCTTAATCATTACAATTAATTTGTCACAGGTCTTATCAATTACTCTTGAAGAATATCTCTTAGATATAATCCCTTTCCTCTTTTCCCATTCCACTGTTATTTACAGTGCTGTAATCTTGGAGGGGTTGCTGGTTCACTCTAAGCCTCAGTTTTGTCATCTGTAAAATGAGGATAATAAGAGCATCTACCTGATAGGGTTAAATGGGGAAATGTATGTTAAGTCCTTACTCAGAACCTAGTAAATTCTTAATGAATGATAGCCATATAATTTAGGTTCTCAAGACGTTTTGCTTTTATTTTAATGGATAATCTTGCATCTCTCACATTTCTTCTGTATAAAGCCACCAAATATCTGTATCTGACATGATGATGTCCACCCCTATGCTGCTACCCTTGCATCTCATTAACTCACCCCACCATAATCACCCAGCCTAGTAATGTGTCACTACAGTTCTTGTCAGAGGGGATATACATCCCATAATGTTTAGTAAACGGATTTGTGAATAAAGCTAATATGATTTCCACTCTCAACTGCAGAGAAATGTGTACAGACTTGGTTTTAGTAGAACAGGAAGGCTAGGGGAAGACAGTTAAGGGGGCAAACCCAGTCTTTGAAAATCACTGCTCTGTACTATAATAATAAAAGAAAATGAATCATTTGTTTGCCATCTTTCAGGAATACATTCCCTGTTTAAAGGCTACCATCATAAACAAGAAGACTATTAAATAACAAGAGAGGGAAGAAAAAATGTTTTCCAGGCTCTGTGCATGTCACAGGTAAGACATGGATACTAGCCAAGGCACTGATAATCAGTGAACAGTATTTCCTATAGGAAGCTGGGGGAAGGGGGAAAATGCCTCAGAGTTACTATTTAGAGAGGACAGTATGAATTTTTTTTTTTTTTTAAGACTCACTTTCATTTAGAAAAGTTATTGAGAAGGCTGGATCCACATCCATCCATTTAGGAACTAAAGTCTTGCTAATGCTACATGTGAAGTTTATTGTTATGTAAACAATGACTCATTTAATTCTTCATTATTGTAAGTACAATATGCATTGGAGCTTACAGAGAACCTAATTCTAACTACCAAGACAGTTACTTTCTAATGAGACACTGGTTTATGTTCTGGTCTGCTCCATCTGTAATATTCTTTTTAAAAATTTGACATGAATTTCCACTTCTGGCCAAGATGGAGTAACCAGGACCAGATTAACCCTCCCACCTAAACAATAAACAAACCTTTACACAAAATATATGAAATAGGTTTTAAGACAGCAGACATAAGGCAATGAAAAACAGTGATTCCTCAGAGATGGAAAACAAAAGAGGCAAATCCTGTGACTGCCCACTTATTGCCTTGAAAGCATTTCCAGGCCACAGTGTAAGAAGGGAGATCTCCAGTTTCCAATTTCACATGTAAGGAGCTTGGAAGTCACCACTTCATCCTAATAACAAGTAAAAACCTGAACAGACTGAAAAATAGCAATTCCAGCAATTCTAGGATCTATAAGAGGTGAGGGCACAGGGCAAACCACTGAGTACAATCAGGGAGTCACAGCTTACCAGAGTGGAAAATACAGAGCGAGGGTAGGAAAACCTGACTTGCTGGTGACAAACTGCTGGAGGCTCCATGTGGACAAGTCTGAGAGTTAACAACTCCAGGGGCACTCAGAGATGGGGGCCGCCACCATTTTGTGTGACTTACCTCTAAGAGCCCAACCAGGTTCTCACAGTACATACTGAAGAAAAATCCTCTCAAGCTTCTGGCAGAAGAAGGGGAAAAGTAACCATTTTGAAATATGCCAAAGCACAATGCTCTTAACAAGGCCTCCCTCAGGGGAACCTAGTTCACCAGAGCCCAACCTGCTAGAGTACTAACAGTGCCTAACTGAAGGGAAGCATTCCATGTGGGAGAAGGGAAATATCCAACTCTCTTCCACTGAAGTGGGGAAGGAAAACAATACCTGAGGAACACTTATGAAGCTTATAGTTCAGAGGCACAAGCTCACTAAAAAACTGAGACCCATCTACTGAACCACAGAACGCTTCCTTATCACCACAGCTCACTACCAAATGATTAATACTAAAGGCCCATTTACAGCAGTTCCTTTCACACAGTAGATCATATCCAGCTAACAAGAAAAATGTACAAGGAATACTAAAAGGCAAAGAACACAGCGTGAAGAGACAGGGTGAGCACCAGAACCACACATGGCAGAGATGTAATCCACAGACTGGGAATTTAAAACAACTATGATTAATACGTTAAAGGCGCTAATGGATAAAGTAGACGGCATGCAACAATAGTAGGTAATGTAAGCAAAGAGATGGAAATCCTATGGAAGAACTAAAAAAGAAATGCTAGAGATTAAAAAACACTGCAACAGAAGTGAAGAATGCCTTTAATGGGACTATTAATGGTCTGTATGTGGTCTATTAACAGACAAAATCAGAGTAAAGAATCTCTGATTTTGAGGATGTATCAATAGAAACTTTCAAAACTGAAAAATGAAGAGAATGAAGACTGAAAAAAACCCAGAATAAAATATCCAATGACTGTGGAACAATTACAAAAGGTGTAAATATGCATAATGGGGAATACCAGAAGGAGAAAAAAAAGAGAAAAAGGAACAGAATAAATATTTGAAACAATAATGACTGAGAATTTCCCCCAAATTAATATCAGACACCAAACCACAAGATGGTTGGAGAACATCAACTGTAATAAATGCCCCCTAAGCTATACTTAAGCATATCATTTTGAAACTACAGATAAAGAACAAATCATGAAAGAAGTCGGATTATAAAATGGCTCATCTACAGAGGAACAAAGATAAGAATTACATATATGTGACTTCTCAGAAACCATGTAAGCAAGGAGAGAGTGGAGTAAAATATTTAAAACGTTGAGAGAAAACCTCACCAACCTAGAATTCTGTACCTTGAGAAATTATCCTTCAGAAATAAAGGAGAAATAAAGACTTTCTTGGACAAATAAAAATTGAGGAAATTTGTTGCCAGACTTGCCTTGCAAGAAATGTTAAGAAAAATTCTTTAGAGAGGGAAAATAATATAGGTCAGAAACTAAAATCGACATAAAGGAAGGAAAAGCACTAAAGAAGGAGTAAGTGAAGGTAAGATAAAAACTTTTATTTTTTTTTATTCTGAATTGATCTAACAGATAACAATTAGGAACACGGACGGGCATTACACAATGATAAAGGGGTAAATTCTCCAGAAACATATGAAGATCTTTATAGATCTCATATATAGATTTCAACATCCTTTTAACAGAAATAGATCCCACAGGCAGAAAAATCAGTAAGGACACAGTTGAACTCAACAATACCATCAAAAACCTGAATATAACTGACATCCATAGATAACTTTACCCAACAAGAGCAGAATGCACATTCTTTTCAAGTTCACACAGAGTATTTACCAACCAGACCATATTCTGAACCATAAAATAGACCTTAATGAATTTAAAGGAATAGAAAGCATATAATATCTGCTCTCAGACCACAATGGAATTGTTAGAAATCAATAACAGAAAGCTATCTAGAAAATTCCAAAACGGCCGGGCGCGGTGGCTCACGCCTGTAATCCCAGCACTTTGGGAGGCCGAGGCGGGCGGATCACAAGGTCAGGAGATCCAGACCACGGTGAAACCCCGTCTCTACTAAAAATACAAAAAAAAAAATTAGCCGGGCGCGGTTGTGGGCACCTGTAGTCCCAGCTACTCGGGAGGCTGAGGCAGGAGAATGGCGTGAACCCGGGAGGCGGAGCTTGCAGTGAGCCGAGATCGCACCATTGCACTCCAGCCTGGGCGACAGAGCGAGACTCCGTCTCAAAAAAAAAAAAAAAAAAAAAAAAAAAAGAAAATTCCAAAACACACAGAGATTCAACAATGCAGAGAGAGAACCCAGTCTGAATCTGACATATTCCCTTACTCGAGGAGGTGGGGCTGAGAATCCCAGGAGACCAAGGCAGTGAGAGTTCAAAGGACAGAGTTCTGGGAAGAAGAAAGCTATGCAGAAATAATTCTGGAGATCTGTGGAAATTAACCCTTGAGTAATCAACAGAGTACTTACCAGCATGTGTATGTGAGGAAACTACCCAAGGTTGAGAAAAAGATCTATCCAAGGTTAGAAAAAATAGTATCCGCTTCTTACACAGGGCCAGAAATATTGCCTGTTCTTACCAGCCATAATGGAAAAATTTACAGGACATTCGGCCAGGCACAGTGGCTCACTCCTGTAATCCCAGCACTTCGGGAAGCCGAGGCAGGAAGATCACCTGAGGTCAGGAGTTTGAGACCAGTCTGGCCATGGTGAAACCCTGTCTCTACTAAAAATACAAAAACTTAGCCGGGCATGGTGGCACTCACCTGTAGTCCCAGCTACCCAGGAGGCTGAGGCAGGAGAATTGCCTGAGCCCGGGAGATGGAGGCTGCAATGAGCTGAGATCATGCCACTGCACTCCAGCCTGGGCAACAGAGCGAGACTCTGTCTCAAGAAAAAAAAAAAAAAAGAAAAGATAGAAAAGAAAGAAATACACAGGACATTCGGTAGAATACTCAGAAGGGTCTTATTTCAGTAGTAGCAAACCATTAGATCTGGAATACATGCTGCTCTGGTCCTGCTTAACAAATGATTAAGGCAAGACAGAAAACTGATCATATTGTTTGCAAATAACATTTCAGAAAAAAGCTTAAGAATATGTATAAGAATACGAAAATTTCTAACACCCAACAAGCTATAATTCACATCAGATAACCAAAAAGATATTATCAGGCACGCAAAGAGGCAAGAAAATATGATTCATATTTAGGAGAAACAAAATCAATCAACTGAAACTAATAAATAAGACAGATGTTAGAATTAGTAGAGAAATATTTTAAAACAGATTATTACTATATTAAATATGCTCAAAAGGTATGAACATGGAAGCTATAAAGACTCAAACTGAACTTCTAGATATAAAACAAGAACATCGAAATGAGGCTGGGTGCAGTGACTCACGCCTGTAATTCCAACACTTTAGGACGCCGAGGTGGGCAGATCACCTGAGGTCAGGAGTTTGAGACCAGCCTGGCCAGCATGGCAAAACCCCATCTCTACTAAAAATACAAAAATTAGTCAAGTGTGGTGGCGGGTATGTGTAATCCAGCTACTCGGGAGGCTGAGGCAAGAGAATTGTTTGAACCCAGGAGGCAGAGGTTGCAGTGAGCCGAGATTGCGCCACTGTACTCCAGGCTGGGTGACAGAGCCAGCAAACAAACTCGCTTGTCCATCTCAAAACAAACAAACAAACAAACAAACAAACAAACACACACCCATCTCAAATGAAAAAATACACTAGATAGAATTAGGGACACATTTGACATTACAGAGGAAAAGATGAATGACCTTGAAGACACAGGAATAAAAACTACACAAAATTAAAAACACAGAGAAAAGGACCCTCCAAAATAAAAATAGCATCAGTGAACTGTGAGATAACTCCAAGTGGCCAAATATAGTTGCAAATGCAGTCTCTGAAGGGTGGGAGAAAGAAAATATATTTAAAAAACTATGTCTACAAAATTTCCAAATTTGAAGAAAACTATAAGCCCACCGATGCAAGAAGTTCAATAAACCTCAAGTTCAAGAAACATGAAGAAAATGACACTAAGGCACATCAAATTGATTAAAACAGTGATAAAGAGAAAAATCTTAAAAGCAGCTAGAGAAGAAATGACATTAAGTACAGAGGAACAAAGGAAAGA